GTTCCTTGTGGCCCCTTTACAAGGCGCCGGACTTGCCGGCGTCACGCTGCAGGCTCTCAGAGGGTTTCAGGCTTACCGCACCCACTTGCTACACGTCCCGCTCTTTCTGTTGTTCCTTCATCTTCGGTGAAGATTCGTTTAGTTGCGCATAAATATTAAGGATGTTGGAGGTTCCGAGACAAACGAGGTGGTGTCTGTGCCCTGCCAGGGTGTCTGATCCAGTCAGAGACTCGGGCACACGGGATTCCACGACTTATTCACCTTTTCTAAGTATGTAGTGTTTTGCTAGGGCTGCTGTAACAAGTTGCCACAGACTTGGCAGGCAGAGAGAGAGTCTTTCTTACCTCTTGCAGCTTCTGGTGGTTCCAGGCTTCCTCAGTTTGTGGCAACGCCACTCCAGTCTCGGACTCTGTGTGTATATGGTTATTTCCTTCGTGTCTGTGTCTTTTCCTCTTCTCTGTGTGTCAAAATCTCCTCTGCCTTTTTCTTATGTAAGGACACTTGTCATTGGGTTTAGTTAGGTTCTCCCAAATAATCCAGGAGGAGCCTGAGATCTTCAAATTGATTACGTCTGCAAGGACCTTTTCAAAAATGACGTCATATTCACAAATTCCAGGAGTTAGGATGTGGACCACCAGTGGTGGGTGGCCACCATTCAATCCACTACAGTCTTCTTGCATGACATTCTCTTACTTTCCTTGAGCATCCTGTAGTGCTTTTAGTTCTCTGTCTGCGTTAGTAGGTTGACTTTGGTTCAAATTAAGTCGAGCCACCAGCTGGCTGAGTGACCTTGGGTGTGTTACTTAACTTCTCTTTGCCCAAGTTGCCTAACCAAGTGGGAAGTGTAAATATGCATTTGACAAGTTTGTTGTGAAGATGAGATGGGGACTCGAATGTAAAGCTATTAGCACAGCTCGAAACATGTGGGACGAGATGATCTCATTGTGGTTAGCATCTGCGGTAAGATTTCAGCTTTTCAATGTGTGTGTTTACAAGGAGGCATTTATCTTGGTCCTTCTGCCTTCATTTTTCCAGTGCCAAGGTAGGTGTTGGAGGTATGCTCTGATCTTGGAGCACTGGCTTTGCTTTGGAAGTCTTGCAGCTAACTGGCAGACAATTGGTAACTCACTATTTTAAGTTTTAGGACACTGATAGGAGGTCTGGGTTATGTTAATTTCAAGGTCCTCTGACAGGCTTATCTTCAGATTTTCTTTTCTTTTCCTTTTTTTCTTTTTCTTTTCTTTCTTTCTTTCTTTCTTTCTTTCTTTTTTTTTTTTTTTTTTGCAAGGAGAGTTTGGCATTTACTCAAAGAGTCAAAAGAAACCGTGTAGGGAGATATCTTGCTTAACATCTTTCTGTCATTTAACACCACTTGTACCCCACAGGAAGAAAGGAGAGGGTGCCTGAGAGCTAAATTTAAGTTGTAAGGATTGTAAGGATCTAAGCAGCATTTTAAAAAGAAGGTAGATAACAGTTTCCTGTCTGGGAGAGATTACTAGACGAGAAAGTTTCGTTCAGGCTTTCATTATTATCTTCAAGAGAAAGACCTCCCCCTACAAAGTCCAAGGAGAGTTATTTGTAGTTAAGGAGATGTTTTAAACCCTGTCTTCTTTAAAGCAAAACATACTCTTCAAAAGCGAGGACTATTTAAAACCTGTGCTTCCTTTTCTTTTCCTTAGAAGGAAAAGGTTACTCTGAAACACTTCAGTTAGATAAGAATGTCTATGGAGGTCCAATTTATAAAACAAAAAGAATCTTCTCTTATTTACAGAGAGGATGTGATGGTGGAGAATCTACGGTAATCTTCGTGCAATACTCCTCAACAGGCAAAACGATTGCCAGAGGATTGTATGTGCGTTCAAGTTTGAGGAGCACTTATCTCGTGTGGCAGATAGGCCCTGGGGTGACCCCCGCACTAATTTCCACCTCCTGTTGTTCACCCCATTGGGGGACCCCTTCCCCTTGAGTGAGAGTGGGGCCTGTGACTGACTGACCGCTGGTAACATACGACAAAGGTGAAGGGATTTTGCAGATATAATTAATGTCTCGCAGTAGTTGATTTTGAGTTAAATGGAAGACTACCCTGCAGTGGGGCCCAGCTTTATAAGTGAACAGTCCTTAAGGGAGGGACTGATTCTTCCCTGAGGGGAGAGGCTCTCCTTGTAAGTTGGATGATATCGGTAGTCAGTTTGGACAAGCCGCACAGCAAGGAACGTCAGGTGGCGTCTAGGACCTAAGGGTGGCCTCCTGCCAACAGCCAGCTAAACGGAGGGTCTCTGTCCGGCAGCTGCAAGGAGATGATCTCTGCCAACACCTGAGCGAGCTGGGAAATGGATTGTTCCTCAGCTGAACCTGGGGATGCGAGAGCAGCCCAGCTGAGATCTCCATGGCAGCCTTGCAAGGAGACCGTGAGCGCAGGAACCGTCAGGCATGCCTGGACTCTTGACTGACAAAAACCGTGAGTTAATAAATGTGTATTATTTCAAGCTGTTGAGTTCATGCTGCTCTGTTATAAAGCAAGAGGAAACTGTCTAGGGCAATTTATTTAGCTACTTATTTATCAACTTTGTCTTACTTACCCAAATATAAAGAGGGGATAAAGATAGTATTAACCATGGAGTTATCGGGCAGATGAATGATATGTGTAAAGTACTTAAAACTGGACTTGGTAAAATATGGGAAGTGCTAAAAAGGTGTATTATCATAGTATATACCTGATACATGGTATATACCTGATTCAGAGAGTTAAATGATTATAATTCTGCTTTTTGAAAACTGCTTTTGACCAGGGCTGAAGCAGGATATACAAATGAATGTCGGTCAAGGAATGATGCTGTATGTTGTGTCTGTCTGGGCTTCCAGGACATCTCAAGCGTGTCTTTTGAATTTGTTTCAGTGAAAATGTAGCTCAATGCCGCCAGAGAGCACAGAGCTCCTTGCTTTCCAATTCCTCACCGAAGAGACTCTGTCTAAGCATCTCCTGGTTACAGCTTCAAGTGGAAACTCGTGTACCTTATCTTCCTTTTACAGACAGGTGAGTCAGGGAAGACGTTATTTGCCCACGTCATGGGAGGAAATGGGTGATGTCAAGAGAGCAGACATCTAGCATCTCCAGTCAAGCTCAGATTCTCAAAACCCCAGAGGCTCTTTGCCTTGCGGCACAAGACAGGCTCAGAGGGAGGACAGGCTGTATGAAAAGGACATTTTTCAATACAAATTTCAACACTTGCTTTCTTCTGTGTCTGCCTCTCCTCACCTGCCCATCACTAAGCTGTCCATTGCTTCCTCTTTGGCAGAAGCTTTGTTTTGGGACTTACTGGTAAATGTTACTTCTGATTCTACCCTGTCCCATGCAGGTGGAAGCAATGTAAGCAGCAGTAGGTCCTTGAATGCGGCCCGGCTGCTCTCAGAATGGAAGAAGAGTTCTACCCTTTATTTATTTATTTATTTAGTTAGTTAGTTAGTTAGTTATTTTTGCCTCTAGGTAAAACATATGCAATGCAATTCCAAGTGCTTATTGCGGAGTCTCCCTGTCCTTCTTTGTCAGTGGCTCTGTTACCTACCTGAGATGACTTGGTACATTGTATTTAAAATACTCTTCAGAAATTTTAAATTACAGTGTCCTTTCGGGAGACTTGTATCTAGCAGACACTGGTTATATTGCTCTTTGTTTTGAAGCTCGATATGCATTCAGGAGGGCTTTTTGTCCTGCTCTACCGAAGTCACTCGTGCTTGGTTGTGGTAATGCAGATGAGATTATAAGTGAACTTCCATAAATCATCCTTTGTATGCAACCCAATCCCCACAATTTTGTCTTCCCTCAGAAACCTTTTCTAAGCTACTAAGTGATGAGATAAGGAAACAGGTTTATCTCCTTCAGTACATGTTTTATTTTTCATCCGTTTATCAACTAACGGTTTAGGTTTGGGGACTAATACAAATGTGTTATTGTCACCTTATCCTGTTGAGGAAATAGCCTCACTGTGAAAATTGTACTATGTCCTCAGATATTCGTGTTAATATGATAGAGCATATATTTTTTCTTATCCATTAGTCAATTTAATATGACAGTCTTGATGTTTACAAGTCCCATCTCAGTTAATATACAGGTATCTGTATGTATATAAATATTTTACTTATATTTTTATATTGGAAGTCCCTGGATTTCTAATACACTAACCCTAAACTGCTAACATCATTAACAATTTTTTTATTGTGGTAAAAAAAGAAAAACAATATAAGAAGAGTGTATTTTTGACCCATTCAAAAATATTTGACTTAGGGACAGTAAAAAAGAGTAAGCCTCAACTTTCCCTTAGAATGTTATCTAAATGACACCAGCACAATACACCGATAATAATGAAGAGGAGGGTGGCAGTAGTTATAATTCTCAAATCTGAATTCCGCTAAGTTAGTATGTACATTTTTAATGACGTCAGGAAAGTAACATGACAAAAATTCTTTAAGACTCTTTCAAAGACAATACTAGAGAGTAGTGATGATATTTTTAGATGACAGATTTTCCTTCAGAAAGCTCTCACAATCACTGTATTTTCGTGATGTCTTGACTGAAGGTGGGGAAAATTATTTCACACAAGGGAAACTTAAGACAATGCAATTAACTACACAACTGCCTAAGAAGCACAGCAAAAGTACAAACTCAAGATCATATCGTGTTTGTTTTCTGCTCTCTTAGACCGTTTGGAGAGAGGCACAGGCTATGAACAAGAATGACAGGACACAGGTGAACACAGAAACAGGTAGCACAGCTGCTGGGATGTTGAAATACTCATGCAAACCACACTTGTGCCCGACCCCTGCCTCTGCCCGAAGAACCTCTAGACACCCTGAATCCAACACCTCAAGGGTTAACACCTGGCATAGTGGGACCTTCCAGATCCAGCTTTTATTCGGGGCTCGGGCCGTCCCAGTGGTTCAGTGTTTTGAGCGTTACCGGTGGGTAAAGGTGTTTCAGAGGTATTTGTGCTGCTCAGGGAAGTTTCAGTGACTCAAGTGGCCGGAAGCTGTCTGAAGAGGGACCGAGGTCCGTCTTTGTGCTGCAGGTGCACTTCGTTCCTTTTCCTCTCAGACCCAGAAATGCCACTAATCTGCCTCTGCTCTGTCAAGTTCCCACCTGGAAAGCCACTTCATGGGGTCTGGTCTTTGGAAATCCAAATACCTTCGTGGAGCTGCTGAACCAGTCTTGTGGAGGAAAGAAAGGGAGACAGAAAAGAAGGGTTATGCCTCTGTCTGCCTCTGAGCAGACATCTGAGGAGAGCAGAAGTGCTATGGGAAAGACCGCTGAGAGCATGCAGGGCTGGCTGCCGAGTGGCCAGTCCGGCTGGTTACGATAAGCTGACCTCAGACACACAGGCATGAAGAGTTTTTTTTATCTTCCCTGGAAGCTAAACAAGACGCTGTCTGAAGTGAGTTAGGTAAACCTCTAGGAGTTATTTTACTTTAAGTGAGGGAGGACCAGAAAATGATGTTTGAAATACCTACAAAGGAATCTCCCTTATCCTTCTGCCACAAGGATGATATGACAAGGTTAGGGCAACAATTCATGTAGCAAAGATCCACTGTAAATTTCCAGCAGTATCTAATGTCTCCAATGTCAAGACTAGTTCTAAGAGAAGGAGACTGAAGACTAGATATTCAGGTATGATTATCTGACGCCAAGGCTGTTTAGAAATGCTATGTTAGGAAAGCTTAATCTCAACGTTTATGGTCTATAGAGTCAAATTGATTATTCCCCCTTTATCACCTTAACTCATTTGCATTCCCAAGCCCCATTTTCCAAATAAAACTTTCTTCTAGTTGCTCATGGCTAGGCCACATCAACAGGAGGCATATATTGCTGACTGATGACTACCAGTCTTTTTCCCCCCAAGGCCATATATACTCTGATTTAGCGTGAAATGTACTCCCTGTTACTTTTCACGCCCTGCTCAATGACTTTCCAGGTCCCGTTACTGAATGCTGTCGGTGAAATTTCCTGTTTTCTGATACAGGGACAGTCTCGGAGATCACAGCCTGATTTTTCAGTCACTGGCTGGACAATAGGATCTCATTTCTCCCTCTTGTTGTAATCTCCCTCTGGGCTTGCCTTTCAGAAACAACTCAGTTGCATGTTAGACCAGATCTACAACTGAGTTTCTTGACCTTTCTATTCTGCAGTGTCTCAGGGCAAGTCGAGCTATCAGCGACCTCCTTTCACGTTTCATAGCAGCAGGCAGAACATATTCTTACTCAGCCACCAACTGCTCTGCTCAGCAGGCAGCTGTGTTATCATTGGGAAAGGTAGCCTTCTCACAGACCTAATATTTATTTACCCAAAAGCAGCCTCTGGGGCTAACCTACAATCACAGGGAGCCTCCATCAAACATTGTCTGTACACTCGATGTATCTTAAGCATGTCAAGAACTTGTGATTAGAAACTTTTGATAGAGTGGAATTAGACTCAGTCAAGCTCCTGAATGCCTTTGGGGCTCTCAGCTTATACTTGGGACTTTCATGAAATATGGAAGGGAAACAGCAGTGCAGTGAATGTTGTAATTCAAGGTGTAAGCCAAGATCTGTGCTAGAGGCAAATATCTATGGTTAAATTAACATATTTAGTGCATTTAAGTGAAAGTAGCCTTTTACTTTAAAGTGACTAGGCAAAGACTTGATAGAAATGGGAAAAAAGGGGCGCCTGGGTGGCTCAGTGGGTTAAGCCTCTGCCTTCAGCTCAGGTCATGATCTCGGGGTCCTGGGATCGAGCCCCGCATCGGGCTCTCTGCTCGGCGGGGAGTCTGCTTCCTCCTCTCTCTCTCTCTCTGCCTGCCTTTCTGCCTGCTTGTGATCTCTGTCTGTCAAATAAATAAAATCTAAAAAAAAAAAAAAGAAATGGGAAAAAAAAGTATAAATAAAATCAAACAAAATTTTACTTCCTTTAAGAAAGGCTAAACCACAAACCTACTATATTTTAGTCCCTTATAGGGTCTAAAGTATAAAAAGATTTTTTTAACTGTATTTTAGGTTCTCAAGTTTTCTTCCTCAGAGGTCAACTTATTTCTTAATTAAACCACCTCTCCTTTTCCTCATAATTACCCTAGATAATCCATTTATCAATCCATAATCCATAGCTCTCCCAGTCTATCTGGTACCCACCCACTACTGGCCAGCACTGCTCTGTCTATAACTTGCCTGCGCACATGTCCCTCTGACCCTTTGTTCAGTCCTCGTTTTACCTGCTACTCTTTGACCTCTCTTCTATGTCTTTCTACTCGTAGTTATTGAAGTCCGCGTGTTCCTAGAGAGCAGAAGCTGTGCAACATCTTCTGTGATATTAAACATCTCTAAGACATGAGTGTTGCTGGTATCAACAGTATCACTGAGTTTGCTTTCTTTGAAGGCAAAAACAAGAGACTTAGCTTTGAAACACTCATTCTTGGGATGTTCTTTAGGAACACAGCCATCATGCCAGGAGGAGCCTAAGCCATGAGGATTGGCAATAATGTAGAGACTTTAATCAATAGTGTCAACAAAGCTCCCCATCAGTAGCTGGTTATGTGAGTGAGGTCTCTTGGGTCTCCAGCTCAGCTGAGTTTTTGGATCACTCCAGCCCCAGCAGCCATATAATTGCACTTACATGAGAGACACTGGAGGAGAACATCCCAGATGATCCTGGTCAACCCACAGAATCCTTTTCTAGATGGTAAAAGTATCTCACTTTTGGGTAAAGATCACCTGAAAGTTACAGTTTTGTTAAGACTACTTACGGTCCCTTTCAAGTAGGTAAGGGGTCTTTTAAGAATCTTAAAAGCAATGTCTTCCTTACAGTTGCCAGATAAAGTACAGGACATAACAGTTGGCAATACTTACACTAAAAATTTATTCATTTTCATACAAAAATCAAATTTAACTGGCCTTTTATTTTATTTGCTAAACTTAACAGTCAAGCATACCTTGACTCTCTACCCAGTAAAGAAAAGGCTGGTCTCAAAGAGACCTCTTAATATTCCCTATCCTTATTTCATTCCTTGACTCTTTTATTAGATCGATATGGGAAGTAGATTCCCTAGATCAGTCAAATCTACTTATTAAAATGCTGTAAACCTGTCCCCTAGATCCTCTGAGCAAATATTCATTCCTTAAGATCCCCAAATTTTATAGAATATGTAACACAATCCCACAAAACAAATCCAAAAACAATTCAGAACTTGGATTTTGGAAAAATCAAATGCAAATAAAAACTTGATTGAATAAAACAAAATGTGACTTGTTTTGATTTATCTCTGAAGGATACATGAAGGAAAAAGAAACCAAAGAATCTGGATGGTTTTCAGTAACAAGTAAAACCAAGTTCATGGAAAAATAATACCAGCAACATTTTATTTTTGGATAATGTTTCATAATTTACAGAAGACTTTCAGGTTATTTGAGTTTCGCAAGAAAAGTGAAGTGAAAAAGTGGTAGATGATTTTTGTTTTTTTTTTGTTTTTTTTTATTTTAAAAATTTTAACCACTTTATTGTAAAAAGTTGTACATATTTAATGTATACAACTTGGGGAGTTTGAAGTTAAGTACACCGGTAGATGATTTTTGAATCCTGTGGATCTTAACTCTGACTGCCACTGAAACTCTTGTACCTTGCTTGCTGCAGAACTCCTTAAATTATCACACGCAATCTATGTACTCTTATTTTAGATAAATACTAACAAGCTACCTGTTACTCTGTCTAGCACAGGTCAGAAATTGCAATGAGGAAGAAGTGCTTATAGCACCAAGAAGTCAATTGACCATCTGGCAGTGGAGGACACAGCAGACACAGCTCCCAATTCCATGTGAGTTTGAAGACATTGGCTAAAGATCCATACAATGCTTAGTAAGTTATGAGACCCGAGACTGCCAATTTTTGACATGTTAATTAAGTTAATATTTTTATCTCTGGCTCCAGTATGTATGTTAAGCTCCTAAATAAAATAATGCACTTTAGAAAAATGTGGCAAAGTAACACATAATTTAAACAAGTAGCTGGAAAAATTTCCTACATCAGCTACCTTATTCTATGACAGTATTAAACAAGATAGAATTATGCTGGGACACTAAAAGGCAATTGCATGCATAAAGCAATGAAAGTCATTCATTTCTACCCTTATTTTGAAGCATGGATCTTTCTGCAAATTAACTGTTGATATCACTAACATCCTTGGCAATTCCTACATTATATGCCAGTATTGGTTGGAAATCTGAGAAAAAAAATTCCAAAATAAACCCAAACAACAGAAATTAAGCAACCAGAACTTTTCCAGTTTTCCTCCTATAGAGATGGGCTACCATATGGCTTATTCTTCAGAGGTCTTAGAACAGGTCTCATACCTTTATCTGTTTTCACACATATGATAGATGACACTTAAAAAAAAAATCTGGACGTAAATTTAAGCAAAGTTTACCAAAATGGCATCAGAGTCAATATGGATGTGGGTATAGTACTTACTCTCCCTGCATTTTCCTGTGCTCTCTTCCTTATTCAAAATTTATCTGTCAATAAAATGGGAAAATAAATTGTTAGGATTTACAAGATTCTAATCCACATTACTACCATAGTGTAATTGCTGGTATTGTCCTGTAAGAGCATGAAACATAAAATAAGTTTGTTTGTTAGATGCAGTGGACAAATGCTTTTGCTAACCTTCTGTATTGTTGTATGGAGTTGACTACTCTTGGTTTTATCTGCTTGGCTTTCAGTTTTCTTTCTAGAACCAGCATCTCATCTTATCTTTTGTTTTATTTTGTTTTCATTTTGCCTTTCAGTAATTGTCTTGCTCTCTGCCCATGTAATTGAGTGGGAGCCACTACCTACCCAGTTCCCCCTCTCCAGGGGAGGGAGTGACTGAACAAATCAGCATATTTTATCACCCGGGGAGGCAAAAATGGACAAGTGACCCCAGTGATAGAGACTCAGTCCAAGTTTTTCTAGAATAATGGGAAGGAAATGTCTGATTTCTATTGGTGTTGCTAAGTGGTAAGGTAAGCTGTTTTGCTACTTCATGGGGAGAGAATGAAATCAACATCAAGGAAAGCAAAGAAAGAAGTTTGAGAGAGTAAAAGTCTTCATGACACTGTTTCAGCATCTTGATCAGGTCATATCTGAAGATGTTACTCCTCTAAGCCTCTTCAATTATGCTAACTAATAAATTCCTTTTCTTATTTAGGCTACCTTGAACTGGAATTTTATCATGTAAAATCAATCAAAATCCAGAATTAAACAAAATACAAGCTAACAAGAGTGATATTATTGGGGAAAACCCCATGATTCTGTTTTAAGAAAAAAAAATGCATAAACTTCAATTCCTTAATTGAACTTATAATCACTCATCTGTGCCACTCCCTCATAGTGTTGTGAAAGATTTGTGAGGGAGAACATGCTTTGGGCCACTAATTGTCCTTCCCACATGCTTAATTACGTGAAGAAACTTGGTGTAAATCGCCCTTAAGTGTCAAAAACTGGAAAACAAGATGCCTTATTTTACCTTTAAATGCTTCTGATCAGCTAGTTCAAAAGTTATATCATGGAGAAGATGCCTTTTAATTAGTGACTCTAATGGTAAGTCTTTGCATAGAATATATTATTAGCTACAAGATTGTTTTTCCAATGGGGTTAGGGAGATAAATATTTACACCTCTCTAAGGGGAAGATTGTGTTTGGTTTTCTGCCAAATACCTTGTTCTTTAGAGTTAACAAGGACGTTGTAACTGGATCCACTTATATATTATACAATAAATTTTAGTGATCACATATGAGGCTAGCAACACAGAGCTAATGAGCTTGAGCTTGCCAGGGAAAGATTGGCCTTGCTTCTTATTCCTAAGAAAGACCCTGTATGAAAAGAGTTCCTTCTTTCTTACCTCTTTCTCAAGTCATGTGTGGCCATCTTGCACGCATACCTGCAGGTCTAGATTTATTTCCTTCCTGGACAGGAAATGAGTAGTTTCTCTGGCAAATTAACAAGTCAGCTTTGCCTTAGATTGGGTTCTTTCCTGAATTCTAATCAGAAATTAATTTTCACTATCACAGGCACCCTTTCCAGGGTTTCTTTTCCCATAGTGTCTGGCTTTCATACCATCAAAATCAGGTGTGTGTGTGTGTGTGTGTGTGCGCGCGCGCGCATGCGCATGTATGTATATGTGTGTGAAAAACAAGTATTACTTTTAAATGTAAGAGTGGCTCTTTGCCATCTTCCAGATTGGAGTCCTGATTAGCCTCTGGAAGGAAAGGAATTTCACAGCACTAGAAATTAATTGTAGTGAGGGATAAAGGACGTAATTGGATGACTTGCTTGATGGATCAACAAAAGAGTATGCATTTACTTAGTCAGGGCCAGAGAGAACACAGTCTCGGGTACATTTTATAGTCCCCATTGTATTTAATAAAATGGGCTTGTGTGGTGGCAACAGACATGTGTTCTGTAGTCAGATCTGTTTTAAATCCAAACTTATGATCTACTAGTTATATGACTTTGGGTGACTTTCTGAAACTCTCTGTGCCTTGGTTTCCTTATTTGTAAAATGGAAAGAAAATAAGAGTGCTGAAAAGTTTATATTCAATAATATTGGTGACATATTAGCATCCAAGGGGCACCCAATAGTTCATTTTAGGCTCAGATCCTACCTGAAAGTGACCAGGGCACTTGCTCAAGTGGTCAGTACCTGTCTGTGTCCTGATTGAGCTCCTTGTGGCAGATGAAGTGTAACATGAAAACCTTGGCAGTTTTTACTGAACTGAGAATTTGGATTGTGATAGACATCTAAATTCTAAGTTAGAATGAAATGACCAGCTCACTGTATTCTCTCCTTTTCTCTTACATTTTATGGGTGAACCCCACCTGAGGGTTAGGATCCACTTCCTGAATCTTGCACATCTCTACACCATTGATTGAGAACTGAGTATTTCCCATCCTTTTGATAATAAACTTATGTCTGCTTTTTTTGAGCCAAACCCGCCAACAGCATAATAGACAGAATGATTCTGAGAGGTTTTATATTATCTCTCATTTACCCAGAAACCAGCTGGGGAGACCTGGAGGTTACTTTGAATTCTGTTTCTGCCCTCTAGCAGCACTGGACTCAAAATTTTTCAGAAAATGAATAAATGTTTTTTATTGTTGTTGTTCAATCTTGATTATCTGATGAATCTAACATTATTCTTGCCAAGAAAGAATGTCTATTACTTAAGATCTTCCTATTGATTTTCCCTTCTTTGTATGTGATCTAATTTTAATTTTCAAGCCTAAATTTTCTATGCCTATAATCCACAGCAGAAGGTCTTCCAAAAGCTATCTTTGGTTTGCTCGAGTTCAAGTATGTTATGGAGACTTTGTTCTGCCTTTATTGACCTAGTGAAATGCCATTTATCAATACCTTATTAAAGGATTTCAGTTGTCCTAAACCTTTCTGGTAGTTTTCATATTTACTAGATATGTTCTTTGAAACTGCAGAGTAGGGAAGAGGTGAAAAACAAACAAAAGTAGAGATTATAGTATCATAAGTCTTATGCACCCTGATCTCTGCCAAGTAGGCTCAACAGTCATGAGCTAATGGCTAAGCTTGTCTAACCTCAAACATCCCCACTCTCCTTCCATTGTCAGATTATATTGAGATAAATTCCTAGACAGCATGTGGTTATCTTAATATTTCAGCCCAGCCGGTCTTTCTAAAAGATTCTTTTTAATATATCTGTAACCTATGATCACACCTAAACAATAAACCTTCACTTGTTAACATCATGATCAATTTCAAATTCTACCAAACAAGTCCTACTTTTAGCTGCATAAAACTGTACCTTCTTTTCCCAGGTGTGGTTCCCAGAGCTAATCATCATTATCTGTGATCACCGCTGGATGGCCACCTTGTGCCCACCAAGATTCTTTGGCAACCAAGTGGATCCCTTTTACTCAGAACAGGAGGTATTCCCTGGGGGCATGTGTGCCAAGCCCCGGGAAAGCTGCCTGCTCTGAGAAACATGGGAGAGGCAGGCCCTGAAAACCCACTTGCACCCATGAGACTCTGAACTCATGGTAGTGGCTAAAAGTGGGAATCAGAGAAAGCTTTCTCTTCATCCCTCGGTTAGCTGCATGATGCAGGGGTGTGGCAGAGGCCCTAATTAGAGATTGGGGAGATCGCATTGTTTACAGCTGCATCCACTCTATCTCACCACCTACCCATGTCATGCAACCTGGGGTAGAGTGTGCAGGAAAGAGGCTGGAATTGCTATCTGTCGTTCCAGGATATCGTTCCCAGTCAGTCCCAAGGGGGAAAGTGAGCATAAAGCTGTATGGAAGGGACAGGCCATCTCACTAATATTCCCCTCTCCAAACTCCCTCTCCAGGTGATGCTGTGTCCTAAGAACAACACTGACAGATGGGCATGTCCCACTGAAGTCCCTGCTCGAGTCTGTGTATTGGGAGCATTCCAGCAGGGTGGTACCAGAGTCGGGAGGTGGTGGACCTGGAGACTGTGCTGTACACATACCTCGGCAGTAGTCCCTCTCTGGGAGAGGGTAGCAGCTTGCTAGCAAAGCTTCCCCCCCTTTGGTGGGGACTGCAGAGAGATGGGATGGAGAGACAGTCACTGGCTCTACTCTCACGGTGACCTCTAGGCTGTGTGGCCAGACAGATCATCTCCTGGGCCGTCTCTGCAGGGACAGGACTTTGCTCGAGGAAGAGATGCACACTGGTATTGGGATACGTTGTTTTATAGCCCTTCAGGCTGTGTTTTCCCTTTTCCCAGTATAATAGGTTTAATGTGATCACACCACACAATCACCAAGAAGAAGGCCCTCAACCCCTCTCTCCACCCTGAGTGTACAAGACTCCCCACCTCTCTGTAGCCCAACCATGGGCAGCTTCTGCTGCTTCTGAAAAAGCAGAGAGCTCTGCTAACTTCTGGCCTTCAGGCTTCCTCCACTGTTTGGAACACTCATTCTTTTCCTTGCCCTATCCGCACTCCTTCCTCAGTTCTCAGCTTAAAGGCCCCTGGCTCTGGCAGTTGCCCCCCAGCCCTCCCACCTTCACCTGCATAGGTGGGAGGCTGCCACCAGATGCTCCTGTAGTGCTTGCTCATTTCCTACCTCCTTTATTTGACTATTAATACCCTCAAAGGCAGGGACCACCCTGTTTTGCTCATCCCTTTATTCTCAATGCCCGCTACAGTGCCTGACACAAACAGGTTCTTAATACATATGTGTTGAATGACTGATTTCAGTTTATAAGATACTTAGGGAATAGGATAGAGACAAATTTTTGAGCTGACTCACGGAGATTGATAGAGGACCTGACTTATTAGGAATGAGACCTTAATTGGGTTATAAAAACTTTTTTTGCTGCTGAAAAGGGGAGTAAGGAGCAGAAGAATAGACCATGGACTGTTCCTCATACCATGCTACCCTGTGCTATTAAGAGAGCCTGTGGTCCATTATGACCAGGGGTCCCAGCACAGAAAACAGGACAAGCCTCCTATCTCTGCTCTTTAAGGCCATGTCAGGTCCCTCTGGGGCTGAGAGAGTCATCTGATGTCTTAGAACCCAGGACTTGGGAGCCCCAGCAGACAGCCACCTCCAGATGCTGGAGTGTAGACCCTGACAGCATGAAGAGGCTGCCAGTCTAGCCACTCACTGAAACCAGGGCTCTTGCATGCACTGCTGGAAAGAAATGACGCCACAGCCCCCGCTGGAGCTGAGCCCCAGTAGAGCTCGGCCTATGGCTAAACTAGTCTCATTACACAAGAACAGCGAAAGGTTTTTTGTATTTTGTTCTGAAATCTGATTCCTTGAAACTTCCATTCAAGGGTTCTCATTCTGGAGAAACATCTAGGGACTTAATCTCCCTCCAGTCTAACGGACCTTGAACTGTCTGGAGAGAGCTGTAACTTGTGACCATAGTGCCTCTAATGGGGAGGTAATTGAGAGGCCACCTTGAATTAATCTACAGGGAGAGTGGGAATTGCTAATTATTTTGAAAGAGAAATGGGGATGTTTTTCTCTAATTGTGTCATGATTATTAATTACAGGGAGTGTATTTATAAAAACCATCTTAAATAGAACTCTGCTGAGAATGACTCATTTGCCTTTCACTTTGAACTCACTTTCCCATTCCCAAAATAGAACTTCCATAGACTATTACTACATGTGGCAACTGGACATTACAAATGTTCTTTAAAGAAAATCTCAGTTTTAAAATCTCTGTCCCGCAAAAGAGACGCAGCCGACTTTATTGATGGTCAGAAAGAAATGTCACCCAAATTCTTAGCCATTTTGCTGTATACTAGAGCCTTGGACCGTCTGTTCTATTTATTAATTTGGGTTGATATGATCACGATAATGTATTAAGTTTTGCTCTCAGCTGAATTCCTCACTTTCAGATTGTTATCAGCTGAATTCATGCGCTGGCTTATTCACAGGTTATAAACAACCAACTCAGTTGCTTTGTTTAGTTCTTAAATCACTTCCCTATTTTTAGATCGTTACTGTATTTGAGAAGAATAGGTAACCTCTGATGTCTTGGGCACGCGGTAGCCTGAGGTGCCCGCACGTAGGGCTAAGTAGCTGAATTTCCTGTGTGGAATGAAAGTCTGGGACTGGTTGTGTATGACATGTCACTCAATGGATTATTTTTTCCCCTGAGAATGCAGCCCATTTAATAGCTTCAACCCAGATGAATTGAGCTATGTTTGAAGCCCCTGCCCCTCTCAGTAAGGGACTCTATGGCGACGTCCCCTTCCTGCCCACTAGCCTGTGCTCTGTAACTCGACGCCACCTGCAACTGGTTGTGTGAGTGTGTGATCTCCTCAGAAGTCATGCCACGTCCTTGCAAGTAAAGCCACATTGCCCGGCTCTACTTGGTGCCCTTCTGAGTCAGCTTGCCAGAAAAAAAAAAAAACAAACAAAAAACGACTGACTCATGGGAAGAGACCTCGTATTAATAGCGAAAGATCATACTGATAATTTATTCACAAAGGTCCTAGTATAAGTTACTTTGAAATGAATATCTGTGTCCCTGACACTGGGTGTTCCTTGTACTGAACCTGTAAAGGCCTCTGGGATCAACAGATATCCCCCCAGTGTATACTTCTTCACGGAACACTTTCATATCCTAGAATAGTAAGGTTATCCTTCCAAGACAGCTCTTTGTCCTTCAAGATATCACTGGGGTAGAATGTTGGTTCTCAGCCTCGAATGATTTCGTCTCCTAGGGAACTGTTGCCAGTGTCTGTTTGTCACAGGAGAAGGTTTGCTACTGGCACCTAGTGGGTGGAGGAGAGGATGCTGCTAAAAATCCTACAGAGAGCAGGAGAGCCCTACCTAACAGAATTACCTGGCCCAAAATGTCAATAATGCCGAAGTCGAGCACCCTTGGATTAGAGAAGTTATTTCTAACTGATTTAAATTTTCTCCCTATGGACTTCAACCTTATTTATTGTTTTAGATCATTTTCTTCTTCTTCTTAAGATAATTTTCTTGAGCCTAAGAATGACTAAATTTAGTACAGAATGCTGCTTATCAGAATTTCCTACACCACATCCAAGATGAACTGACATTACCAATGTAACAAGCATAATACACCTGACTAGTGTATTCCTAGGTGAGACTGGGCCTCCATGTCTTCTGCAGCCTTGATGAGGAAAGACTGAAAAGGAATAAGGCAGTAGTTTTCTATTGCTGCCGTAACATATTATCACAAACTTAATGGCTTCAATGAACACAAATTTATTATCTTACAGACTATAGATTAGAAGTCTGATATAGGTCTCACTGGGGTAAAATCAAGGTGTTGGCAAAACTATATTCCTTAGCCAGGCTCTGGGTGAGGATCCATTCTGCTTGCCTCTTCCAACTGCTATAGGCTGCCCACATTCCTTTGCTGTGGCCCCTTTCTTTACAACAAAGTGAGTAATATTGCATCTCTCTAAGCCCTCTTCTGTAGTCCTATCTACCTCAGACAGCCAGGAAAGTTTCTCTGTGGTTAAGGATCTTTGTGATTACATTGAGCCCACCCATATAATCTAGGACACGTCGCTCATTTCAAGGTCTTTAACTTAATCATATCTGCAAAGTACTTTTTGCCATGTAAGTGAATGAACACATTCGACGGCTCCAGGGATTAGGAGTAGACATCCTTGGAAGACACTGTTCTGCCCGTCACAGAATAATGTTAGTTTTGGCAACACCCAACTTCCATTGGGCTATTGATGTCCTGCAGATTGGGGACAAGCTAGAGAATGTGGACTTTGGGAAACATGCTATTAGTCACCATAGAAATGTCTTGTAAGCAGCTCAGCCACAGCCTTGTGGATAGGAATGGGTTTGCATCTGAAGGAAATGGACATTTCAGTTGTCAATCATTCTAGAAAGAAGTCATTCCTGCATGAGCTTTAGAACAGGGTGAGGGAAATAGTTTCTTCTTTCCCGGAAGCCTAGGCTCCCTTTGGTCTAAACCTGGAGGTCTGAGGTATCTGGAGCATGAACAGTAGTTGGGTATAGTATAAATCTATAGCTCTGAGCAAATGGCCTGAGATCCAAGGACATGATATGATCCTGTATTGTAAAGGACCTATACAGTGTTGAGGACTATGCAGTGTCTGGATTATTCTCAAGATTGTCTCATTATTAGGATTTTTAAAATACTAGCTCATTTCTACAATGTTGTGACAAGCAAAGGGGGAAGGGCTTCTGGGATGAAAAGAAGCAGATTATAGGGTCAAGAATCAGATGGGTGGTGAAGGGAGGATTTAGGGAGCACAGAAAATGCTGAGATATTTAGAAGTGAAAACATATGCTGGAGACTGAATGTACCCCCAGAATCCATTATGTTGAAATCCTGACTCCTACAGCCATACAGGTCTTCCTTGACTTATGATGAGGTTATATCCCAATTAACCCATCACAAGTTGAAAATATCATGAGTTGAAAATGCATTTAACACAGCTAGCCTACCAAACATCACAGCTTAGCCTAGCCAAACTTAGATGTGCTCAGAACACTTAAATTAGCCTACAGCTGGGCAAAATCATCTAACACAAGCCTATTTCATAATTAAGTCTTGAGTATTTCATCTAATTTACTAAAGACTGTATTGAATGTGAAAAACAGGATGATTACCTGGGTACAGAATGGTTGTTAGTGTATTGGTTGTTTATCCTCATGATCATGTGGCTGATTGAGAGCGGGCCCTCTAACTGCCCAGCATCATGAGAGAGGGTCCTGTGGCATATGGCTAGCCTGGGAAAAGATCCAAGTCACAATTCCAGGTATGTTTCTACATTGCTTTCACACCATGAGTAAAGCAAAACAATTACAAGTCAAATCATCATAAGTCAAGGACCATCTGTAATAATAGGAGGTGGGGCTTTGGGGAGGTGATTAGGTCATGAGAGCAAAGACCTCATGAATGGGATTAGTGCCCTTATAAAAGAGGCCCCAGAGAGCTCCCTTGCCCCCTTGCTTCATGGGAGGACATGGAGAAAAGATTGCAGTCTATGAGCCAGGAGGAGGCTCTTGACACTGAATTCAGACACTGAATTCAGACACTTAATCTGCCAGAGCCCCTATCTTAGACTTCAAGCCTCCAGAGTTCTGAGAAATTAATTTCTGTTGTGTATTAACCATTCAATCTGCAGTTTTCTATTATAGCAGCTAAGACAACCTGGAAAATTTGCACATCAAAAAGACGAGAGGGTTCCAACTGTAACAGTTTGAATATAAAAGGGAAATGTGATCTCTCTGGGGCTGCGGCCTGGCATATTTGGATTGTGTACCCAAATTGGCTTTACAGTAGCCAGTACAAGTATGAGATTTGAGAGCATTTTGGTATATGACATTTTTCATTCACGTAAAATTCTCTCACAAGATTGAACAATACAATCCTGTGGATATTATATGAAGTTGTTTTTCTTTTGTAAGTATTGATTGAGATAGCCTTGTAGAAAGAATCTTGGAATTTTCATGAGGAGACTGGCTTTTGTGCCTCCTGTTTTTGCTCTGAACATTGTACCTGAATGAACTCTTCCACTCCTGGGTTTATCCACCACCACACATGTGCGGTACCTGGCGGGATCCTTTAGCACCGTCCTCCCTGTGAGAAACCATAGCCTCCCCCTCCAAGAAACTGAGTAGAGCGTGTTCATTTCCCCTCTGGAGCCACAGGTACCCAGCACCATGCTTTGGAAAAATGACTTCTTCGTTTGATAACCACCAAACTTTCTATTCTCACTAACCAGCTAAGACCTTGGTCAACTCACTTTATTGAGCCGCAGTTTCTTTACCCAAATGAGGGGTATGGAAATTTAAGTCCAAGGTAATTTCTGATTTAAATATATTCTATTTCTTTCAGTGTATAAAGTGTCGCTTCAACCGAATGATGGTTTTACCTACTCTTTTATGTTTGAAAAGTGCTTTTTCTACTTTTCAAACTAGTTGTCTTCCATTAAAGTGTCAGATATTTCAATTGGCAGCTGACTAAGCCAGTAAGACGAGTGTTGAGATACACGCGCATGCCCATACACACATATGTGTATGTATATATGTGTTTAAATGTATATAAACTATATGCATACATAATATATGTAACATATATATGAATGTGTGTGTTCATATATATATGAACACACACACACACATATGTACACACACACACTTGTTTCCTTCTATTCCAGTCAGTTCTGCTATGTTTATAGAACATAAAATGCATTAGAAATTAATTCCATCCCTGTGCTTTGTCAGACAGAATGAAAAGATGCAGTTTCTGGGTGCTATATCAGACAAAGATTTGGGCGAAACAAGGCATGAAATGAGGCCCTGATCTTTTATCATCCCTTTACCTTCTATCTCCTTAAGCTTCTTAGATTTGTGTGTCTGGTTCTAGAGAGTCCATTGCCCTGGACTGAACCCCTGGACTCCAACTCTCCCACTTGTTCTCCAAAAGAAATGCTGAAGTTGTGTGCTACAAAGTTTCTTAATTGCATTTTCCCCCAGGGACAAAAACAGCTGTCTTTGCTCTAACCCACGGGTGAGCTCTTTTGAGCTCTGACACGCAGGAGATGACAGAAATATACGGGCTTACAAATGCCAATGCCCAAGGCTACCACAGGGATGCAGAATTCACCTGCCAGAACATTTGACACTTGCGTCAGGAAAAAGCAACAGCTGAGAAAAGCCCTGTGAGAAATACTTTGTCACGTCTGTGGGAACGGCTGTCCAGATTGTAAATCACTAGGATGTCTGTTTTGTCCAGCTAATGCTCCCAAGGGTGGAAGAAAGGGGATTTACTCAGCTCATTTAGTCCTTGTGTGGAAAGGATAGCATACCAATGATGTGGGAGTAGTTTTTCACCCTGAGATAAAAAGGCCTTTGGTGTCTTGTCCTTAGAATGTTGGCTAAGGATGGGAAACCAGTTGTTTCTAGGTGTGTACTTCTGTGTGTGGCCCCCTCCTCACTTTAGATAGTAAAGATCACAACCTCTGAGCATATCCAAAGAGATCAGCTCTTTCATTCAGACGAATCATGACAATGGTATTCAAATGACCTTCCCTTAGCTCTGACTCCTTGAAGCTCTTAGAGAACTTTTCCTTTCATTCCTGATGATGTTCAGGTTCCTTTAGATGCTAACAGGGAGTAAGTTACAGATACTGCTGATAAACAAAACCTTTTGGGTTTAAACAGTAATGAACTAAAGGAAAACGGGAGGGCAGAGCCATCTGCCGAGGATGTAGTTATTCACAGGTGAATGTGTGTAGCAATGTGTTCTTGAGAGGAAAGTTCTCTGCTCAGGAAGTTAGTACAGCTAACTGGAGACCTGCCTCAGAACAACCCAAGTGGAGCTGAAATTCTGGATGAAACTGAAGACTCCTGTAGCCCCATTTAAGTAGTAGTTTAACATTCAAAAAACAGAATTCAGACTCCCAAGAGGGAATCTAGGAAAAACTCAAATATTTTACTTATGCTGTTTTGAGAATATCCACAGGGGAATCAAAGAGTCTACAGTAATATTGATTAAAATACTCATTTTATTCACCGATTAGCTTTTCCAATACCTACTTACAGTCTCACGTCCTAGGCTGGAATATTCTGTGTCCTTGGCAATTATCATTGTCATCTACGCACAAAGGAGAAATCTGCTTTTTCTTTAGAAGGTGGGTTCCACACTAAACTCACTATAAGACTTCTGGTAAGAAATGGGAGGAGTAACTTGGAGTGGGAAGTTTGATTAGTCGATGCAAACTAATGTATTAGGCCAAGAGTTCTCAGATTGGTCCAGGAGATACCATAAAACCTCCAGATGTTAATGATACTTTTCAGAACACCATGAGAAAACAGACTAATCAATTCTGTTATGTGAACTGAGAACATACTTTATGTTTATAAAGTGAAATCACAATCCTGAGCATACCTGTCCGTGAAATAGAAAGTCACCAAACCCACTTGGTCAGTTTCTTCCTAGTTTTCCTCATTTAAAGTGTGTGACTTTGATTCTCCCTTGTCTTTTTGGGCACTACCACCTGATAGCAGACGTGCAGAATGGACACCAAAAGCATAATACAAAGACATGAAAGACGAACTTGAGGTTAAGAACACAGCATCTTTTAAATTAATTTTGGGGGCAAATTGGGAAAGACTACCAGCATTTTATTTAATGGTACAATATATCTCTTGTCCAATTTAAGACATAGCTGTATTGCATGGGAATATACTTTCTTTGCTAATTGCTGCCCTGGGTTTGGTGAGGCATACAAAGGAAGCTTCTATCCGAGAGACAGAGACAAAGGAAAGTCTTATTTCTCCAGCTTTATTTTTCCTCTTTCTAGGCTACTTCTTCTCTACAATTTGGCCTACTTTATTTTTTCTAATCCTTTTTATTAAATGGTAACTTTTCAGTCTGTATCTTACATATGTACTCTGTAGTTTTTCTTATCTCTGGTAACACTCTTCTTAAAGCTGCTGTGAAATGAATGTTTGTGTCCCTCCAACATTCATCCATTGAAATCCAAAACCCCAAGATGATATTATTAAAAGGTGGGGCCTTGGGAGATGATGAGGTCGTGAAGGCAGAGTCCTCATAAATACGATGAATGGTGTTGTAGAAGAGGCCTCAGATAATTCTCCCTCACTTCTACCACTACTTGAAGTTACGGTGCTAGAAGCTGCCCTCTACGAACCAGGAAGCTGGTCCTTACCAAACACCAAATTTGCCAGGGCCTTCCTCTTGGACTTCCCAGCCTCCAGAACTGTGAAGAATAAATTTCTGTTGTTTGTAAGCTCCCAGTGTATGGTGTGTTGTTGTAGTGCCTTCCTTTAATTCCAGGACATCACTTTTTACAGATTCTCATCTTACATTTCTTTTTGTGTCTTGGTGGCTCCTTACCCTGTATCTGTCCATTAGAGATCAGTTGCTTCAAAGCTGGCCATATTTTGTATATTTTTCCTGGTCACTCTCACTCATATTTTTTCTCTAACATCTCTACATTGATGACTCAAAACTTTCCATTCAAGTTTAGACTATTCCTTCAACTTTCAGATCTATGTTTCTACTCTCTCTACTTAGCTTCCTCATATACATTACAATTATTTTATTCATACAACAAATATTTGTCAGTGCTGACAACAGGACAACAAACAGCAGTTTCTTTGCCCTCATGCTGTTCATGGCTTCTTGTGGGAGGCAATTTTCTTGGCTGCCCTTCTTAGAATATGAAATCCTTGGAAATAGAAATTGTCTTTGTTTTGTGTGTCTGGATTCTACCAGGAACTGGCATATTAAGATGCTCAAAATATGTTCACTGAACACCCATGAATGGTAAACACTTGAGGTCAAAAGAAATCTTCTATTCAACCACTATCCCAATTAGATATTTGATTCTCCTCTAACTTATCCCAATAATGGGTCACCCAGTTTCTGCCAGATTGGAGGGTTATTGTTTGTCATTGGTGTTGATAGACTCATGCATGGCTTTCCTAGATTTCTTCTTTCATTATGAGAAAGAAAAAAATACTGAACCAAGAAAGCCAGGGGAAAATCCTATGATATGTGAACAGAGGTAGAAAGAAACGACCATTATGCAATGAGGAAGTCGCACAAACAGGTTAGAAAAAGGGACCGAACTGTTCACCTCATATAGCACCCATTCCAACGAGAGGGTCAATAGCTACAGCTGTTTCGGTTTTGCCAATTTTGCCCTCCAAATTAGACACGTGCCTTCCATTTACTTTAATAGGAGCCATA